TATATGAATCATTTCTCAGAATATATTATTAATATTGAATTATATAGATAAAAAGAGAAAGATAAAATAGGCCTTACACTACAAAAATTCAGGCATTTTGTGGAGGTCATATTTTCATATTGTGGAGGTTTTTGACCCCCACAAAAGACATTTGTGGCATTCACCCAAACCCCCAGTTCTGCTTTCGCCACAACATAGTTTGTGGGGGTTTTTTGTGCAGTGCCACAAATTTGTTGGAATAAATTTTGGAGGTTCTAGACCCCCACAAATGTTACACTTTCTGGAGGTTCTAAACCCCCACAATATTTGTCACTTCGTAGAAGGCATAGACCTCCACAACATGTTTATTTTATTTAAAAAAAAAAAACAGACCTTACGAGAGGTTTATTATGTTAATTTTAGTGAAAAATAATATGTCAATTTTAGTTACGTGCACATGCTTTTTTGTATGTTAACATTTCAATGCAATATTATTCCATGCCACTCCTCTTCTTCATATCTATCACAAACACTCTTGTTAAACATGGTTTCTTTCCTCAGCAAATTGAATGCCGCAAAGTTTATGTCATCCATTTTGCAGGGAACTGGATCAGTAGGTACTTAATGAAAAGAGACACAAGAGGAATTGGCCCAGAAAACTTCTGGATTTTCTGTATTATATATGAAAAAGAAAGACAAGTACAACATTGAATTCATGTAAAAGAAAAGACACTGAAGAATATGAACAGGAAAAGCTCTAGATACAGAAAATGAATCAACTTTAAAAGAAGAAAATAATATCAGCACTTTCGAATGGTGCTGTTCTCTCACAATTGATAAGCCCAAAATGCCTAAAATGCCCAAATTCCAACCTCCTCTTCTGAACCTCTTTTCTCTCTATTTATGCAACGTGCCCCTGTAATCAACACAAAACATTATAAAATTAACTAAAATTAACATATAAAAAAAATGTGCACGTAACTAAAAAATGACCCCCACAAAACATTATATATGTTTATTATGTTATTAGATATGTATTCTGAAATTTTTAAATCAACACAAGCAGCCTTAGGCCTTACCAATGTGATATCAATTAATAATTCATGTAGTTTGAATGGTAGGCATTTTGTTTTGGGTCATATCTTGTTACCATATGAAATGTACATGAATCACCAATACTTAATCAGCAACAAAATCAAATTAATGGAATTCTCACATGAAAAGGAAGAAACGTAAAGAGAAGAACCTGATAAGCTGAGGTTGATACACCAATTGGTTAGAGATGCCACCGCTCTGATAATTGGTGCTAGTATTCTTTTTAGAGATGCCACCGCGCGCTTTCACCTTTGTTACTGTAATTGCCTGAACGAATCCAACTTAAGCTTGACTAAATAAGCCCAAACATTTAAAAAGGAATGAAAAAACCACATGTTCCTTGTATGTAGACAAGATTTTAGATGGGTATATATATATGTATAGTACTCAAGTCAGAGTGTAATGAATGTTTACAGGACCTGCTGCTCCATAGTTTTTGCCTCCCATGTCTTGCCTTGTTGAATCTCTCCCTCCAACCTAAAGTTACAAAAGAGTAACAGGGTTAAGTATGCATATATGTGATATGTAAATTATATTTCATAAACAATTATAAGACATCATTCACACAATTTCTGATTAATGGCATGCATACCTTACAAACTTCAGACCACATAATAGAGACTACAAGGATTTTACAAATTCATACTCAACAAGGTGCTTTCTTGCTCAAATACCATCATCTACTTCATCTTATGCAGAATTAATATGTATCATATGGTAAAAGAACAACTACAAAATGAAAAGGTTGTAGACTTTTAGTTATAATTAGTTGCCTAATTAGAACATTTTGACCATTAATGCACTCAATATTTATCATGTAATATGTACCATCTGCTAGAACAACTCCAATGAGAGGAGTAAGATAACAAGTGCCTTGCCAAATGCTGACATTTCTTGTAGCAGAGACATTTCCTTCATGTAGCTTGGTTGTAAGATAGGTAACAAGATTTGTTGCAATGCCAAAGAAAGCCAAACGTGCACAACATTCATTGCCTGTGATTTGCATGCATAAAGATGATATAAACAAAAATGGATTACTTAATATATAATAACAATGTAAAAGCATACCTAGGATAAAGGGACAAGCTCTCTAATTTCCCGTATTCTGCTTAAGAAAAGGCCGGCCTCTAAAGTCAACTGTGCCATCTCCTGTGTATTGTTTGTTATCTTCTTCCTTCAGAAAATAAATAAATAATCATATCACATAGCAAAACAACACTTTTATTTTTTATTTTTTCCTAAAGGTTCAAACGAGGAAGAAACAAAAAAAGGCAATAACAATCGGAAACATTTCCTTTTTTTCTCTAATATTGATTAAAAAAAGGGTAATTAATTTTGCTGACAATAAAGCAAATATGAGAAAATCACAAACTAAATCTCACAGATTGACATTAAAAACAGAGTTATGGACAATTGACTGAATAATATATCTGAATGTTAGCCTTAAAATCAAAGGCCAAAGAGTAAAGTGAAAGGCATAGCAATCATTTACATGAAACCATACACAGCATAATTCTATATTAACATTTCCAAGAATAGCTTGAATTGATCCCTCTCACAGTCCAATTTATCTCTTCATTATCAGAGTTGAAGAAGTATCCTTCACAAATTCATCTTCCACTTATTTCTATTTTAAAAATATCCAAACAATTATGATTTGGGGATGCTAGCAAACTGCATATAATAAAACGTAACCAGATTGGTATTAGTCCTTAATTATGTTGGTATAAAACGAAATGTTGGAATTTTTGGGTCAAACACAGTTGAATTTTGTTATTATGAATACATTTATGCTATGTCTCTTGTATACAAGTAACCAGCATCACAAGAAGATAGAATTTTTCATATAAGCAAACATAACAAGATTATGGAGAATGAGAAATGGAGTGAAAGGAATATTCAGTACGAAAGCTATTTTTTTCTGGTAAAACTGTCCTCCACCTTTCATGTGCTTAGCAGTAAGCAGGTCTTGAATTTTTAGATCCTAATATAGCTACTCTACCTTATAATGTAGAAGCTTCCAGCACATTTAGTTGACAAATGGATATCAAATGCAATGCGGTAGTGCAATCAAATCAACAAAAAGCCTATTATTCTCTAAAGACTAGTGGATTTTGACAATAAGCCTATAATAAAAAAGACACCATTTGATGATTTAGGAATTTATTTAAGAAAGAGACAATTGGCATCAATTCAAAAGAAAAAACCATAAAAACATGGATACAAAAATTAAATTAGTATGTATAAAAAAAATTAAATTAGCAACTCAGAGAACTCTATTTTTTTTAAATTTTTAATGAAACTAATAGTTTTTTTGCTTTTTCCAACATGAACAAGCTCCCTCTTAAGCACACATGAGTCCTGCATCAAGAAACACAACATACCTTTTACCAAAGCAATTTGTTATCATTGTTTATGAACAGCAATCAACACAATAAAATATTTAACTCCATTTATGTACAAGTTGACATGGACATTATTTTATAATAATTCCTCTCTCAAAAATTACGAAGCAGATTATTCGAGTTCCATTTAGAGAATTTAAGCATAAAAAAATTAGAAAATAAAATACGATAAATCAAAAAATAAATAGAAAAGCAAGTGCACCTCTTCAATTCCTTTTTCTTTAAGACACTCTGAGTTTCTCAACGACTTGATTTCTACAAGAGGCTCCCTTATCAGCAAGCGAGACATGAACCAAATTAACATGCTACCATTTGCTCAAATCCAGTTTTAAATTTTATCATAAGAAATCTAGATAAACAAATAAAAAATGCACTCTCAGTTTTATTATGCTCTTCAAACAAATTTGTATGTTTTTTAGTTCATCAAAATCATTGATGAGGAACTAATTTGTCTTACTAAATTGAAACAAAAATCAGTAGTTCGTAAAGATGAAAACGAAGCATTTGTTACCTGCTAGAATATAAAGAATGAAGAAGGAAAAATGAAGAGGCTACTATTCAATTGACAGAAGTAGCTTGCAATGAGCGAGAAGAACCCGAAATTGCAAGACCTGAAACTTTTAGGGAACAAATGAGGGAGCTTTTGGGGAGGAAAAGAGAGAGGGTGAGAGAGAACTCACCAGAAAGTGATTGAGAAAAATCAAAAGGGACAAGAATAAAGGCGCCAAAAAATTAATCAAAAAAAGTATCTTGTAACTTTTGTGGCATTTCAAATCTCCAGAATATTATACAACTCGCCAAAATATACTTTATTTTCTGGCGTTGAACAAACTGCTAGAAATTCGACAATTTACTAGCGTTTTTCTTGACCGCTAATAAAAAGCTCCCAGTAAACACATGTTTTTTTGTAGTGTTACTCTATGTATTGATGTTGGGGCTAATGCTTTTTTACCGCTATTGTTCTCTCATATGATACGTGTTATTTTTTATTGTCATAATCATGTAGACTCTGTCATTATTTTTATTTTTAAAGTCAGATTTTATTTTTGATAATCAAAACTCCAAACGGACAAGTTAGTTTAACCATGATAATTAAAATCTTAATTTATCACTTCGATTTTATGTTTTGACAATTTTTTTTACCAAAATGATTTTTTCAATATTTTAAATGATTTTATATTTTTATGTTATGATTTTATATTTTATAATTTTTTATCCTCTTTTAATTTTACGTAAATTTCAATTTTAACTATCTTGCTATTAACAATATTAAAGGTGGATTTGAATGAAAGAAAAATCACATACGAATAATTAATAAGAAAAAAAAAATATAAATGATAAAGGAGTAAACCATTTTATCATTTTTATGAACTTTTTCCTATTTTTTATCCATTGTCGTCGATAAAAAGTACTATATAGAAGTGGATAATAATAATAAAAAAGAAGAAGTAAAGCTTCCTAAATTACAAATGCAGAGAAGTAAACTTTGAGCAGCAAAGCTGAAAGGCCTTGTTTGAGTCAGTAGTGTTGTAGAAGATGGAGACTCTGAAAGCTGCCATTCCAGAAGCCCTTAAGCGAGTGATCGGAGAGAGCACTGTCGATGATCTTCGCAGCACATGTTCTTCTCTTCACCGCTTTTTGGTTCATTTCGAGCCATTTCAGAAGGTAAAACCTTCTCCCATTCCACTTGTTCTGACCAATCCCTAATTTCTTTTTCTGACTCTTTGGTGGTTCTTAGATGGTGGCCGAATTGGCGGACCCTAAGTATGCTCTTTGCGGTAAGAGTAAGGACGCTGCGTTGAAATCCAAGCAGCTTGGCAATCAGTACTTCTCCAACGCAAATTATGCGAAGGCTTTGTATTCCTATACTCAGGTCTTTTTTTTCGTCCTTTCAACTGTTTTCTCTTGTGGAAGTGTTTGAAATGTTCTTGCATTTTATTTATACCTTTTTGGTATCAAAAGAAAATTGTTTGTTCTAACTGCAATGACGTTCTTAAAAGTTAACGGGATGGAAATTTTTTAAGTCCGGTTCATGAAAATGGTAGCACTCAAGTCTAAACCGAAGAGTTCGCGTGATTAGGGATATTAATTTTTTATTCCATATTTGGTAGCATAGACTCATAGAGTGATAGAGTTGGACTTCGGGAGTGTAAATGGAGTCTGGGAATGATAAGCTTTCTGTTTTGGAACGGAGGGTTCTAATATTTATCTATCCATGTGCGTTAGGAAAAGTGGGAAAGGAGGTGAGACTGGCAAGGTCTTTTATATTAGTTGCTTGATAACAGGGGTTGAGTGGAAGGAAAAGACATCTTTCATATTTGGTTTGATGGAACGGGAATCAAAATAGGAATAAAAGTCGGATTGGATTAATGAAATGGAATGCAATGTTCATTCCTTTTTTTGTTTGGTATGGATAGGATCGGAAATGACAGAAACAACTTTTTTGTAAATATACAAAGGTAACCCTCATCTCTAACCTCTCTAGTCAGGATTTAATAGGGAGTGGACTGATGCAGAGAATTGGAAATGAGGGCAAGCCTTGGAGCAGCGGTAAGGTTGCTTCTTGTGACCGGAAGGTCACAGTTTTGAGCCTTGGAAATAGCCTCTTTGCAAAAATGATAGGCTAAGACTGTGTATAATCGACCCTCACCTCTACCCTTGCAAGTCGGGGAGTCTTGTATACTGGGTTTGGCCTTTTTTATGAATAGGATTGGAACTGGCAACTTCATTTTATTGGTATGTTATAATTGATAAAAAAAGACAAGAAAACATAAATTGCGATTTTTTAGGTTAAATAGGCTTGGCTAGGCCCGGTTTAGGACAACAAAAAATTTTGGGCTGGTCTAAGCTAAGTTTTTTGGGCTAGATGGGTTTGGCCTTTTCTTTACATCTACATTTTGGTAAAATGCAATGGAAATTCTATCACTTTTATGATGGAATGTCTACTCCCATCATTGTAGGGTTGTTCATTGCAAATATAATTACCTAACCAAACATGATGAGAATTCTATTCCCATCCATTCCATCCAACCAAACATGCCCTTAAACAGTTCACTCTTCTTTTTTACTATTTTAATTTATCCTAATATGAATCATTTTAAGTAAACCATAAGGGTAACACATGTCTATTGACTGAAATTGTGCTTTAGATTTTTTATTCTGATTTTATTTCAGTTTGAGGGAATCAAATTTGTTAAATCATGTTCTATCAAAAATAAAAATGTTAACATGAGGTACAACCCATCTGTACCTTTTCTTCTTATATCAAGTAAGTTTGAATATTTTGTCACTCATTTATTTATAAGTGTTCTTTTCTTCTTGTAATATGAGGTATAGGCATTGCGCAGGGCACCTTTAGAGGCTGGTAACATGGAAAATAATCTGGTGGCAATGTTGTATATCAACAGAGCTACTGTATTACATGTAAGTTCCATTCTAATGTTAGCCCTAAGCACACTCACATGCACTTTTTTTGAGATACAAAGCTTGATATTGGAGTAAAGTATTCATGCATATATGTTTCCTGCAGAAAATGAGTCTTTTAATAGAATGTTTGCGAGATTGCTCCCGAGCTCTTCAGATATGTCCAAGCTATGCAAAGGTGAAAATCAGCTTCAAATGTTACCTATTTTTCCTCCAAGTTTACCTGTTTCATGTAGTTACACAGCATTATAGAAACGGATGCAATTCTTGCATTTGTACCATGTTTGTTTTGTTATGTCCATTAAATGTTTATAGATTAAATTATTCGTGAGTGGTTAAATAAATATATTAGCTTCTTTTCTCAGTACTTTCTGATGGAAGTGTATATATATATTATGAGTTTAGTAATCAAAACAAAGCATTTAGTTTTCTTTGCCAATTTCCTCATTGAGATTTGTGCAAATTTATTGTGTATGTCTTGGGGTTTCACATACTAACATGATAATTCGAAGTAATGATTATTTGACATGCTTTGCTTCCTCATCCTAATTATCAGTCTCTGTTTGGTGCAAGTGAGAATTTTCAGGAATGTGTGCTTTAACGTTTGATGTAGGTGTCTGTCTATGATGCACCGACATTGACACGGGACACGACACGACACGCCGACACGTTAATTCTAAAAAATGTCATATTCTGACACGTTGGGACACATTTTGATATTACATAATATTTTTAATATATATAATATAATTTATATTTAATACATATACATAATAAGTCATATAATCAATCAAATATTCAAATTTTATAACATAAATATAAACAAAAATAATTTTTCGTACCTTGTTAATTTTTCATGTCAAATTTCATAACAGAGAAAAAATGATTTATAAATTATTTTTTCATATTTAGTTAATAAAATAAAATTTAGTTCTAAAAAAAAAAAAACGTGTCGCATGCATGTCGGAGTGTTGATCGCGTGTCGGAAAAATGTGTCGGAACGTGTCGAAGCGTTGACCGCGTGTCGAACACGGTCGGAACGTGTCGGTGTGCGACACACATTTTTTGAAAAAATGAGCGTGTCCGTGCATCTGAGGTGGCTGTGACAAAGAATGTGGATGCAAACTTGAATTCTAGTTTCTACTCTTCTTTTAATAATTTATTATTTTGACCTCAGGCATGGTACAGGAGAGGTAAGGTGAATGCATCATTGGGAAATTATAAAGATGCAATCTACGACCTAAATGTGGCTAAGAGTGTGGAGTCATCAATAGGTGGGAAGAGACAAATAGAAAGTGAGCTGAAAATTATTTTTGACCAATGCAAGAGCACAAGCACAGTAGTACAGCATAAGGAGAATAGCTTGAAGACAGTGGGTAAGAAGCTTTCCTTGTTAAGAACTTAAGCAGCAGAATCCAGTAACTACCTAGTTGGTCAGGGCTTTGTTGAGTGTCGTTCTGTTATGCTCATAGCACTAAAGTACGTTTAAAGTGACATCTTGCATTCTGAACTTATTATTTTTCACTTTGTGGAATTCTTATAATCTTTTGGTCTACTTATCTTCTTTTACATTTTGTGCTTTGTTCTGTCCTTAAGACACATGTCCATATTAATTTATTAATCTTGCAAACAGCAATAAATGTACCTCAATCCTTAAAGAAGTATGTTGAAAAGAAGATACAGAGACCAGCCTGTAGAAACTATTAATAGGGTTGCAAAGTGAGGATTGCAATATTTATATAGGTTTAGAGCCTGAAATATTGATTTAGGCTTGGAAACCTTTAAGGGAAAAGAGTTGCACAAAATCAAGGCCAAGAAAATAGTTTAAAAAGAAAAGACAAGAAACTGAAAGCACCTAGGGTTCAGTTATCAACTCCAAGAAATTTATCCAAGACACATTTGCCTTATAAAGTTAAACTACGCGGCTCAGCTGGTCTGGGGAAAACAAATCAGTGTTTTGGAGCAGATGTTGACATACACTTTTCCTTGAAAGCCCCCCGTTTCTATTTAAACATGTGGCTTTCTTCCTCTTTACCAACTGATTTTCTCTCCCTGGAAAGTCTTGAAAGAGTCACTGGCATTACCAATGAACATGACCTAACTTTATCTGTCTTATTCCCAGAACAAGATGTGTGCAAATGTTTGAGATGGGACTTGGCCTGTTCGTCCTTCATTTCTTATTCCCTCATGCTGTTGTTTGATTGAATTTTTTTATTGGGAAAAAAGATAAAAGGAAAAGAACATAAAGGTTGGATGCCTTTTGGAAACTGGCTGTTCAATACCTACCACAGTAGCATGAATGAGAAACAAGGACAGAGAGAAATTAAGGAAAAAAGAGAGGAAAAAATATACAACCCTTTTATGTTACTAAAACCGATATTCCTTTCTTGAGATCCTGCACTTTGTAGATTGATTGTAGTCCCTTCCTATTCACTAAAAAATTAAGCTTTGTTTTTCACAAATACAGAATTAGACAACTGAATTAATTCACATCACAAGCTTTAATTTAACCACATATTAAGCAGCTGCCTGTAGAGGTAACTAGAAGACTTCAATTAAAGATTTCTAATGTGTGAATCCTGTTTGGAAATGATTGTAGGTCACATTTAGATTTCCTTTTATTCAATGTTCTTTTACATCTGATGTATTTCATATGTAATTCTGCACCGTAGTATTATCCTTGTATATAATACTGAAAGAATTATTCTATTTTTCTCTCTTTTTTAGATAATAAGATGGTACAGTACATTTGTGGCAGGTGAGATGCCCCGAATAAAGCTACAGTGTGTCTCCATGCCTGATAAAGGAAGAGGCATGGTGTCCTCATGTGACATTTCACCAGGTTCTTTGGTTCATGCTGAAGAACCTTATGCTATGGTAAGAAACAATTGTTTTCTTAGTAATATCATGAAGTATCATTTTTTTTATTTGCCTGGTTTTAGCGATATTTATGACTTCATTCTGCTTGGATGATTCACAATTAGTTCTTTAATTATACTTTCTGGCTAAAATATACATGACCCCCTTCAACTTAGGCTTAGGTGCAATTTATCCATTCTGCTTCCAATTGAAGCAATCTACATATCCTAAACTTATATCATTGCCGTTGTGTAAACCTACGCATTCTGTTTACTATTCTGGTTAAATAGTTCATATTTCAAAGTTTGTTTGCACCAAATTAATATTGAGGCAAATTAGTGCTTGTCATTTATATTTGTAAAGAACCAATTCAACCCAAAAGCTTAAGCTATTGAGTGAGGCTACATTAATGATTTTATATATCTCAACAATATTATATATAAGAATTTACTTATAAATATTAGCTATTCTGTAAGTAAGTAAGGACATGATTTTTGTTGTCAATAGTTTATAAATATGAACTTTCAGTCTTCTTGAGGTCAATGGATAAATTGTTTTTTGGTTCTGTATATTTGTATTCCTTTAGGAGTACAGACTTATTTTGGCAAGTTAACTTCATAATTTTTTCCTTTTTTATTTCTTCCAGATAATATCAAAGCAATGCCGGGAAACCCATTGCCATTTTTGCTTGAATGAACTACCTGCTGATAGAGTTCCTTGTAGTTTGTGTTCAATACCATTTTATTGCTCCAACCAATGTCAAATACGGGCAGGCGGGCAAATGTTCAGGATTTATCCAGAAGAAAATGCCATTCTTAAAAATTTACCCAGTGATCTTGGAGAATATGCTGCTGAAGTTATTCAAGGCAATGATTCTGAACTAGAAATTGATGATATTACAGAACATAACCATGAATGTCAAGGTGTACATTGGCCTGCAGTACTTCCATCTGAGATAGTTTTGGCTGGCCGAATACTAGCTAGGTTTTCACTGAAAAGCACGTCTGAAGATATTTCAAACTTTGTTGAAAGGCTGGTATGCTTTAAATGCATGCAGCATTTTAGTTCGGCTGATTTTGTCTTTGTTATTTGATTATGAGTAGCTGGATGCTTATGGCTTCTGTCCTTCTCGCAGGAGCTTTCTCATTGTTACAATCATATGCCATCTGAAAGCAAATTGGATTCACATATATACGCAATGGTGTTATTATACTGTCTTCAACACTCTTATGGCACTATATTTTCCATAGATGGAATCTCTATGTCACAGGTTGTTTTGGCACTCCTCTGCATGCATGGATGTGTCTATTTGTACTTGTATTCATAACATAACCATCATTAACCCTGTGTTGCAAAATATTTTTCCAGTATGACGGGGCAAGTATTTGTTGAAGAAAGCAATTATTTTGATATTTTGAGTCAGTAAAATATTCATATTCAAGTTTCATCTTCTTTTGTCAATGCAGGTTGTCATAATTATTTCTCAAATTAAAGTGAATTGTATGACTGTTGTTCGTTTAAAATCAATAGACGCCCGTGGACGATCAGATCAGTTTGGAGAATTTCCATTTCAATCCAGTGCATATTTAACTAGTAATGTGGAACAGGTACATGTTTTTCCTCACTTATCTTTTATTGCATCATTTTTATTGCTTCTTTGACACATTTTTTTGCTTGTGCTATATTTACTTGTGAACATCAGGGTAAGTCCTACTATTATAGTGTAGAGTGTAGACATTGTTGGTTATGGTAATTTTTCTTTGTGATTATTATATCCTTGGTGATTTTGATTCATATTCTGTTATTTCTCTCAGGTCAGAGTGGGTAAAGCTATTTATAAAGCTGGCAGTTTATTCAACCATTCTTGCCAACCAAATGTTCATGCATATTTTATTTCACGTACACTCTATTTACGAACCACAAAAGTTGTAGCAGCTGGGTGTCAGCTAGAATTGTCTTATGGTCCACAGGTAGTTTCTTCTTGGTAATTAAAAGCTTTATTTCATATTACTAGTCAGCCTCTTCGTTTGAGCCTTTTAAATTATGTCTATGCCTTTTTCTTGATAAAGAATGTCAGTGATCAAGGATCCCTAAAGCTTAAGCTGTTAAAGAATAGCTTTATTTATATCTCAAACATGACTCCTCAAACTAATATCCTCTGTGCCTGAGGCATAGATATAGCACGGGCCTACCAAACTTTGTACTGAAATATTAATTTAGTTAGAACAGTGATGGTTGCATGGATAGAACTCTTGACAAGTTGATCAAAGGGGCCTGATTGCCATGTCAAGAAAATAATTCCAAAAGCGAGAGAGAGCGAGGAGGAGAGAGAAAAGGAAGAGAAAATAGGATGATTGTGAATTTTCCTATGGTTAATGATGGCTTTGAAGGGTGGTTTTTGCTAGAATAGCCAAAAGTGAGGCTTGGAATAATATAATATTAGGTTGATATGGTGTGTGTTATGATTTAAAACACATTAAAGAATCAGGTCAAGTACTAGTGATATAAATACTAGTACAAGCCCAAGCCCACTAATAGAAGATTCTTTGAACCACAGATCCTCCCATAGAAAAAATGGAGTCATCCGCCACTTGAAAAGGATAAAAGTAAGGATATACCTTCAAAATGAACTTATACTCTTCTACAGACTCACTTGAGTAGCATTGACCCCAAGCTTGGCATCCCAACCATTGTAATAATTGCAATAACTGTTTTTAAGGCTTTTAGCACACCTCCCTGGTGACAAGACTCTTATATGTATGACATGCGGCTTAAGGTCCCCTCCCCCCTCTACATCTAAAAAGAAAGCAAAACCAGGGAAGTAAAAATGGTTTACTCAGACTTTTAAATGTCAAGTCTACTGTATAAAAGCCTTGTTCAATTGTTAAATATACAGATCTATTTTGCAGGTTGGGTTGTGGGATTGTAAAGATCGCCTTAATTTTCTCAAAGATGAATACATATTTCATTGTCAGTGTACTGGTTGTTCAGAAGTCAATCTGTCTGACATTGTCCTCAATGCTTTTCATTGTGTCAATACAAATTGTTCTGGCGCAGTGTTGGAAAGCAGAGTACTTGACTGTGAAAAGCAGAAAATCAAACACTTCTCTATTGATGATAAAGTAAGTCATTAATAGATACTAAATTACTAGTTTACTACTGTTTTCTTCATTGTAAATGTAGGCAAGTTTATATTATGTGTTTTACCACAGTTGGTTTCTTGATTCTCTTGAAGTCACATTAACAATGTGAAAATAATTCTTGAGATGCATTACATTCTCATCTGTATTTGCATACTTTCCACCATGATTTTCACTCTTGGCAGAGTTCCGAAAACATCTTCATTACCATGAATAAAATGCACCTAAATTTTGGTATGATTTCATTTGTCCATATTTATGGAACTGTGTACGGTAAACCAATATGGATCCACAGTTTTGTCAATTACCTTTTTTTAAATATATATATATATCTATATATATACATATATATATATATATGTAGGACAGGATCATTTGACACCGGTGTCAAACAAAAAGTTTGACATCTCATCTAAGAGTCGTTGATCTTACATTGATCTAACGACTTTGATTTGTAAGCACGTGACACCATTGATTTACCTTGATCTATTGGTCCTCAGATGAGGTGTCAACCTTTTAATTTGATACCGGTGTCAAATGATCCTACCCTTATATATATTATCATTTAGTGACTTGCATTTCCATGCTGTCACATAAGTTTCTCGGGGGTTGGGACTTGGAAGCTTGGATAGAAGGTTATGGGTGTGATCCATTTTCTCCCTTACTCTTTCAGGTTGACAAGAATGATGACATTTATGAAGTTTGTCTTCATGCATTAAACGAAAATGACGCCTCCATTCATATTCAACCTGGATACTGTTTGAAATGTGGCTCTTACTGTGAGTTGGAGTCTTCACATGCTGCAGTTGATAAAGCTTTAATAACCATAAAAAGGTATGCACTGTTTAATTTGGATCTTGATAGCTGCATTCTGAAGTATAGCTTTCCTTTTGCCTCTGAAAATATAATCAGAGCTAATCTTGAATAGTTCCTGTAACACCCCGTTCTAGAACCGGTTTGTTAACATCGCATTATGATATTAAGCGCAGGTACAATCACATGGGTTCAATTAAAATCCGGATAAATTTTTCATTTTAAAACACACCGAACTTATAATACCCAATATCGTGATCATAACCATATTACCTTGCGGAATCAGATAAATTAAGCTTAACATCATGTTCTTATTCCATTTTTAAACCATTAATTTACTTCCTATTTATTTCACGACTTCTACTATATTGTAGATCTCTTCATCAGCTATGCGTGGCTTCAAAACGCGCTCAAATCGGAGCATTGTAGCCCAAGTTAGGACAATTTGAAGCAACACAAGAGAGTGTTGGTCACAGGCCCCGCGCGCTTCAGCGCGCTATCGGGCGCTCAAGCGCGCGCTATCGGGCGCTAAAGCCACCATCTGGGCGCTAAAACACGAGGGGGCAGTAAGTCTCCCAACTTTCTGCAGCAAAGGGCGCTTAAGCGCAAGCCAGGGCGCTCCAGCGCGCAATCCTGGGCGCTTAAGCCCCCACTTGGGCGCTCCAGCGCGAGGAGACAGAATGCATTAGCACTCGCAGGGGCAGCAGGGCGCTTGGGCGCGCTCCTGGGCGCTTAAGCGCGCTGCCAGGGAATTCCAATTCCCACTTTCTTCAAGTCCAAGTCTAGGGGAAAATGCATCCCCATTACAAACCCCAATTGTCCATGCCCCAAAACTAAATCCTAGCACTCATCCAACCTCTCCTCATGAGATTTAGCTAGAATTTGGGCAGCATGACCTTTGTTTTCTCATCGTTTACCAATTTAAACAAAGGGTACCTAATTGATTTTCAGCCCAACCAATTCAACAACTCAATACATAACAAGCATGCATATATTGAAGTTCAAGTAGGCATCATTTACATTACATATCCTTTACAAATCATAGAACTTAGCTTACAAAACATTATGATCATTCCCTTGGCTCCCATCAACAAAAGGTGTAACCAAAGGCATGAGCATAGGCTAAGTTCATCCAATGAATCAAGATATACAAATGACCATGGGCTTTCAAAATAAAATCCTATACATGTCAACTACAAAAGGCATGCATAAACTCAAAGAAATGCCATATTTCATGCATAATCCAGATATGGCCACTTGCCACCAGAGGCTCCTGCAGCATCCTTACCTGAAAGGGGGTCCCCACAACACGGGGTGAGATATACGAATATATCGAGTAAACCAGGGGTCCTTGGAGCATCTCTCCACCCCACAGTTCCATATCAGTGTAATAGCAATAACAATAATAATGCAGTAAATACATATCTATGCAAAGTGCAATACATCTCCAGGAGAAATCCCTCGAGCTCTCAAGCTGTCCTAAGGAAACTCAGATGCAAATAGTCCTACTGGCCAGCTAACTACCAAGTATGATTTACGCATCGTCATGCAACATACCAACATAGGGAAACACCATCCTATGCCACACCAAATGCATACACATACGTACAACAAAGCATTACACTATTTTATTGCATTTATATACACAATCACAACCTCTACCCTTTCAGGGCTTGGTAGAACAGTCAAGGGAATTACACCCAAGGTCCGAAGGCTTACATCAATGCTTCAGTCGACCTTTGTTCTTCACCAACAGTTTCAGCAACCCACTTTTACAAATATACACCAATTCCGATGAGCTATTCAAGCTCCATAGCTTGCTCCAATGGTTGATCACTCACGGTTGGTCCAAATGTCTCAATCCTAGACATCACAAGGACACAATCAATCATTCAACTCACTAATTGTTCAACATGCTAGAATACTAACCAATCCAAGCATGAATTTTCCAATATTATGAACAATTATCAAATGACTATCTAGGCTCATTTCCACCGATTAAATGTCGTTCCTAGCATTCTTCATAACATGCTCTAAGCTTAAATCTTCCTAGAACATAGTCAATTTACTCACAATTTCTAAAATTCCCACTTTACTATTCACAAAACCCTACTCATGAAATTTTCCATGAAAATAAGGTTCAAGGGTTTAAATCTTACCACCAATGGTTGCACAACAATGATGTGAGTGCTCCTCAAGCTCCCATGGAGGTAGAAGCCACCAAAACCCCAAAATCTCTCCAATGGCCGAATTTTTGAGAGGCAATATCCCTCTCCACAATGCTCCCCACACAAAACAAAGCAAGGATTATGAAAGAGGGCGAGATTCTAAGCGATTTAGGCTTTTGAATCATCCAAAACCATCAAGGTTTCCTCCTTCCTCTCTCTCTTCTTCTCTCTCCCTTCTTCTCCTTTCTCCTTCTTTGTCTTTGTTCCTCGACGGGTTTCTGGGGAAATGGGGTCTTTTGGTAGCTTAAGTCACTTAACATAGGTTAAGTGGCTTTAAGCGGGTATTGGTTCGTCTATCTATTCAACTCCAATAATTACCAAACTTTAACCAAAAGTCTGGAATATTACTATTTTTATTTTTATATTTTGGGTACTTTTGCCAGTACTCATTTATACCCCTTAATTTTCACGGAGTACACTTTTTAACTCCAAAGTGACTCAGATTCACTTAATTAAGCATTATACTTAATTTTACCCAGTAAAACATGCTTAATTAACTAATTACACTAGATTTACTAATTAATTAAGTTGGGCTATTATAGTTCCCAATTTTAGGCTAGCTTGATAAATCCTCCAGTTTTCAATCCTGCATTAGCTCATCTCAAATAATAGATGGCTGCTTAATTTTGCACAATTTACATTCTGAAATATTGAAATGACAGGTTGCAGGATGCAATACTGTCAAGAGAGATTTCAAATACTACTATTTCAGATGCTTTGAGATCTCTTCGTTTGCTGAGATCAAATTTGCATGCATACAACAAACTTATTGCAGAGGTGAGTTTCAGGCTCCTGTCATGTATGGTTTTTTATTTTTATTTTATTTTTGTGGGGGGGGTTCAATTACTTCATTGACATCATTTAACCGATCCAACCATATGAATTGAAAGTAATCATGAAATAGATCACGCCTACAAGTTTTCATAAAATTTTAAAACTAATACTTTATTTAATTACTCCATTTTATTATATAATATGTATTTCAAAATATATGTAAAAGTCAACTATTAGATTAGATACATACAAATGTTTGATTGATCTCAAATTTTGTATGCATGATTATCATGATAATTCTACATGATTCAATGATTGTATTGGTGAAACTCAATGTTAATACAATTATTAACGGTTTAAGTGTCCAAGACTTACACCTAATGCAAGTGGATCCCCACCCTATGTATATATATGTGACCGCTATTGAAGGGCACAGACTGTGATAGACAAACAAGATCTCATGTTTTTAATATAATCGTTTAACTTTCATTTCCATGTACCGGATCTGCTGCATGCAGGCAGAGGACAACCTTGCCCAGGCTTTTTGTTTAGTGGGAGAATTACAACCATCTATGGGCCATTGTAAAGCATCTATCCAGGTAAAACTTTTATTAATAAGCCTACTATTTTATAGGTTGACTTGTTTCTGTCACTCAGCAAAAGCAAAAATGAAGGGGCAGGACAGATTTATTTCTGACATGTTTTTGGTTTGCTAGTATCTCTTTCTGTGCCTGTTTGACATGTCTTATTTTTAGCTTCTCTTCTCCTTAGAAGCAGAAGCATAGCCAAACGTGTTTTTGTAAAAGCTCTTATTATAAAAAGTGTTTTTTTATAATGAAGAGAAAAGCTAAAAGGAGCTTTTTAAAAAAAATGTATGCCAGCTTTTTGGAGTGCTCATATTTATTTTATAGTTTTACCCTTATTCTAAACTTGTATTTATAAATTTTATCCTTTATCCTAATAATCCATCCTAATAATATATTATTTTATCTTCCCTACTTCAAAACCATCAAAACAACTTTATATAATCACCAAACAGCTTTTAGCTTTGTTTTTTAAGCTCTCTTTTTTTAACTTTTAGCTTAAAAAAATATTTGCCAAACAAGCTCTCTGTATAGATAGGACTTATCATTTATCAATTATCAAGTACCTTTTTCCCGCAGTAGAAATATAAATAATTGTTAGTGGAACTCAGAAAAATGTCCCACTAACCTGTGATGTAGCACTGTGAATCATGGTGTATTGGAAGGAGCCATATGTATGTCCTGGGAAGAATTTATATGTTCCATAGAAAATGCTCCGTAGATTTATATGTTCTATGGAAGGAGCCATTATGTATGTCCTGGGAATAATTTAGGTGACCTGTGGTGACGTTGCATATCGATGTAGATGAAATTTGTGCAGGTTGTGTTACTATTGCGAAAGGATGAAGAGTAACTGTAGTGTGTGTATTTTTGTAGTTTTGATTGTGACTTTGTGCGGATGCAGTCACTGGGAGAAATGAGAGGTCCTGTAGTGGGCATGTTATGTAGTATTTTTTGCAAGGATTTTATTATGGAGTATTGTGGCTTGGGTTCTGAGATTTGTTGAGATTGATGATTGTTATTGCAAATTATTTGTTAATGAATTAAGTCTTGTAGAGTCACAGATGTGGACAAACGCTTGCAGAAACATGTTAAATTTTGTGTTGATTATGTGATTGTTTGTTGTATTCTGCTGCTTGTGTCTGAATGAATTTCCAACACGGTCTTGTTATCAAATTATTCAGTCTTTTCAAGTAATTGGTCTAAAGTGATTCATTCTTTTATGTATGGCAGATTCTGGAGAAGCTATATGATCCTGATGATATTGTTATTGCTTATGAACTTGTGAAGCTTTCTTCCATCCAACTTTCCTTGGATGATGGTGCTGCTGTGGACAGCATAAGTCGAATAGGTGATATCTTCTCGCGTTTTTATGGACTTCATGCAGACTTGGTCTTCCCATATCTTCAATATCTTAGGAGAGAGATTGAGAATTTTTCAGTGAAGGCTCTCCAATCAAATGCTTTTCCAGCAAAATGAGCTATAAAATCAGTGTGAGGTACAATCAACAATCTCAGTTTAAATGACAGGTAATTTGATATGCAAGGCCTACAATAGTCAACGACCTCAAGAAAGATTACTCAAAGCTCATCCGTGCAGTTTGGCAGTCAATACTTGCGCATAGATAAGATGGAGGCTTTGAATTGCTATACCCAGGTATATTCTCTAACTGCTCTCTTTTGGAACTGAGATGTGTGTTTTGTTGATATAGATAAATTCAAATTGAAAGGGGAGAGATATTTGAAAGTTTGTCTTGTAATTTCAGTGAATGGAATTTAATCCTAACTTAGTGAGAAGGGGTACCAATAATTACTTTTCATGTTATACCTCTCAAATTGTTAATTGTAGTAAGTTTTAACTGCTAGTACTATTATTGAACTGAGAAATTTCTTTCTTTCTTAATCTAGTTTCGTGAAAGTGTGGAGCAGTAAACCTAAGAGTTCATGTAATTTTAGTAATTATTATTATGTGGTCATTGTTAGCATAGAGTGTAAAAGTTGGAGGTGGGGCTGAAATTGAGATTAACGATGAAAAGCTATAGGAATAGATTTTGACGAATTGTGCTTGTTAGCAGTGATTGAAAATTTGAAAGGCTGGCAAGATTTTTCGCATTCTTTCTTGGTGGAGTTAGATAAGTGGAAGGAAAGATACTTTAGTTCTATTTGCTATTTTATCCTAATGGGGAATATTTTTTATTTTATTTTTTGGTGCAGAATGGGGAATATTTTTAACTAAAACATATTGTTAAGAAAGTAAGACTTAGCATCCATTTTGTTAAAACTCAATTGAATAGCGTATATCAAATTTTATCCCTTAATATCATCTCATTTGAATGAAGAAAGTGCTGAAGGAGGGGTGAAAGTGGAAGTACATTTTTCTCTCTTACCAAGTCCTTTTGAATATGTTGACTCAGTATATTTCTCTGTAAACGATTCCATTTTGTTCTTCCCCCCTTTAAACGTGAGATACAGGCAATGTGTATAGCTTCTTTGGAAGCTGGTGACATTGAAAACATTCAGTTTGTGGGCTATCGTATTAAGGTCCATTTTGAGTGATATGTGACATGACTCATGAGGTGTGGGTTTGCCCATGACAAATAAATAAATAAATTTGGCCAGTTCTCCATGATATTGTCCTTACTAAAGCGGATCATTGCTGATTGTGATTTTCACAGGCTTGAGAAGCATTTTGAGACAGGTGCACATGGTTTGTGTCTAACCTAGGAATGCTCTGGACATTTGGCACGCTGCAGGGCTGTCTCAGGCAGGATGAAAGGATTCGGCATAGGCAGAATCACGCTGCTAGTATACCAATTGATGACTTAGGAGTGTACTCGTCGTCTATAATCCGCGAATTGAGATTTATGATGCCCAAATTATGATGGGAATATGCCATCTATGTATAAAGTTAGATTTAACGAGTCCAGTTCATCCTTTTGTAGCACTACTGGGAGTGTGGATTCGAACATGGGACTTCAACTTATGGAGCAGCCCTTCCGTATTTTCGGTGATATGTAGAAGATTACAGGAGAGAGAAAGTTGTGTGTTGTCGCATATTGAACGAGCAAGGCTGCCTTTGAGCAGAAGTGGAGGATAGGTTTGATTAAAAGTTGAACAATTTCATGATCTGACAAATTCGACCGAAACTAATGATTGGAGTTAGGTTTGGTAGTGGGATTGCTTTTTGTTTAATCTAAGTTTATTAAATTTCAATTGGTTTGGAATAGCCATTTTTTTTTTAGTAGATCAAATTTGAATTAAGCAAATTATCAAATATGTATTTTCAAAATAAGAGAGGTTATATTTAATTATTTTTTTCATCACTGGAACAAAAATAAATCAATGATCACAATAAAATTAAATGAGAGTTGTTAATTCAATTTTTAAGACGTAAGAAAAATTAAATTATATGTATAACCTATCTATTTAAAAATTGTTTTGATATAACGATCACTTAAAAAAATTTAAAATGGCAAATAATACTACTTCAGTTATTTTTTTTCTTAAAAAAAAACTTTAGTATAAAACACTTTCTCTGTTCATCAAATTTGTTCAAAAAGTTAATCCAATAACCGAAGTGGACCATCAGATGAGGTTAATTTTGATATATAAAAGAAAGTTGTTCAATCTAACTTAATTGATTGTATTTTTCCATGATTACCGCTAATAATTAAGTTCCTGTCTCTGGATGATAATATTAACCGTTTTCCACGAGTTTATTTTTATTTTTATAATTTGAACTGCTTCGCAGTGGTTTGGTTGGAACTATTAACATTATTTTAATAAAATCTGGGATGCAGAACTATTTTTTTTTTTGTAAATTGGATGCAGAACTATTTTAACGTATTGAATCATGAATAATACTTTTCTAAAAGAAAGTAAGAGCGGCGAGGATCGAACTCGAGACACGAGACTCTGATATTATGTAAATAATCAATTCAACCCAAAAGCTTAAGGTGTTGGGTAAGACTACATTAATGGTTTTATATATCTCAACACGTCCCCTCACATGAAAGTTCACTGGGCTTAAAGGGTGGACAATGCACAGACTCATCTACCTGTGCGAACAAAGAAATTTCATTTGAAAGAAAGTGGAGGGTGGCGAGGATCTTCACCGCCCCTCACTTTCTCTTGTGAAATTTTCTTAGCACAGGTAGGTGGGCCTGTGCATTATTCACCTTCCATAAGAAAAATATTATCTCCTACTCAAATAATAAATAGAAGAGAGAGGAGTTGAAGAAGAAAAAAAAAATTCTTGTAAGACCCATTTGAAAAAGGAAAAAGTGTTTATCATTTTAAATGACATAAAGTTACATCATTTTAAGAGAGATAGACACAAAATAATTTTTTTATTTAAAATTTAAATTAAAAAAAAATCACCCACTTTTTCTCTCCCATGATTCTCATTTTTTGTGTCTATCTCTCTTAAAATGATATAATTTATGTCATTTAAAAGGACAAACATCAAACTCTTTGAAAAATATAAAAATATAAAAGAAGGAGATAATATTTTTCTTATGCAAATATAAAAAAAGTATTACCCTTGAATCATTTGTCATCTCTTTTCCTTAAATCGATGGAAAGATTACCTTCCTTATACTTGGCTCTTTGGTACTCGTCTAACAAGGGACACAGATAAAAGTTACAAACAACTAAAAATAGTGATAACTACAATTTAGTTATCTACAATGATCAATATTATGAAGTAACAGGACCATACGAAGAAAGAACATTTGGGACAACATTACAACAATGAATCCAACTATTGGAAAATTTCCTATGAGCGGGGCCGGATGATATGAATTAACTTTAGGGTAATGTAATAAAATAACCACAACATAACTCATGAATTTACAACATTCCACCTAACCCCCCCTTCTTGTTTTACAACTATCATCAATCCGCTAGAATTAATTCTGATTTTGGCAATGCATAGACGCAAAACATAGCAGGAAAAGTAGAGAGAACTCCATGCTAAACCTGACATGAAAATGTCCTGAGATGATGGCAAAGTCAACGATCTTAAGAGTTGTCCATAGCATTAATGAAACTTTGACTCGGAGGGCTTGCTTCCCCTAAAAGCTGAAAGAGAAAAGAATGACCTTGACGCTGGAACATGACCATGTGGAAGAAAAAAAGCAAGGAATTAATAAGGATCACAACTAGTGAGAAAAGTAAGAAAATGTATAATTCCATGGTGTAAAGGAGCACTAAAATCAAAGTTACAAGTCTTTGTTACTCATGGAGTGAAAGACTAACCTCTGGTGGTTGAACCAGCACCAGAATCACGGCCTTCTTGTGTCTTGTGAGAACCCTTGCCATCATCTCTGCTTGCTGCATGGCAGAAATCTATAAATGATAAGAATAGTGAAATGAGGAAGATATCTCAATCTGAAAAACCGCATCTTAATAACTTTCAATCAGTCAGGAGCAACATAAAGGACAGCACAAAGAAACTAGCATAAAATTATGATAGCATTATCTTTTTGACATTAGTCCCTATTAAGTTCCCAATACCCAAAGGTGCTTTAGCTAAGAATTTTCAGAAGTTTAACTAAGATATGCCCCCAATAACTAAATCACAGACACTACCAGATAAAATTAAGCACCAAATAAGTATAGAATAGCTTGTTAACTATGTTGCAACTATATGAGCCTATGTTGGCAAGAGTTTCAGCACAAGACAGATAAAGATGAGCACAAGGAAAGCATGTTTGAGGTATTCAAGAACAGTCTAGTTTGATTATTCTAAGGGAAGAAAATTTTATAGAGACAAGTGACAACAACTTTGAGAGATACCAAAATTTATTGCAAAGCCATCAGCTTTAAATGAGATCAGGAAAATAAATTAAAACAGAAAGGCAACAATGAGTGTAGAGCAAAGCAAAGGGGAAATGTATTAGATAAGTTTACTAGTACCTAAATTTCTTTCATATCCTTCATGTACTGAAATTTTTGGTTGTCCATAGCTTTTCACATTGAGTGCAGCCTTTCTCAGTAGATTGTCTGCATTCCTTTTATTAGAATTTTTAAACTCCTCAGCATCATCCTCTCCTTCAGAAAAAACAGATGGGCTAGACCATCCAGTAGAACCCGAATCGCCCTTGCTCTTCCGAGCAAATTTCAAGAGCCTTTTCAAACCTTTGGGTGCATCTTTTTGGTATATCATGGCAGGAGGATTCTCAGCATTTCCCCACTCACAAGTGTCAGGTTCACTACTTTCTTCTTGAAGCATCTGCGACAGAGAATGGCGAACACGAGGACTAGCGGATCCTGCCGGGGCAGCATTGGCCAGAGATGCAGGTTGGAATGTGCTATCCTCACATGGCTTAGGCAGCTCCAGATCCTCTTCTGTCTCCACCCAGGCAGAAGGTGATATGGTTGATTCTTCTTCATTCCTTATATTTAAGGAGGAGGACTCTTCTATATATGTTAACACATCACCTTCAGTAGGATCTTGGTCTAAGTTTTCTGTCTCACCACATTGCAGGTGATTATTTATCTGAGGTTCTGGTTCTGTAGCAGCATTCTGATGACTAGGTGTCATAGTGTCCCTGTCTGAGTGCTGACTAACCAAGTCAGAAGCATTGACAACCAACTCTCTTTCTTGATCTACAATAAGATTATCTTCATTGTCTCTCACAGATTTTTCCAGCTTAGGAGGACTTTTTTTCTTGTTAAGATCACTAGTACCATTCCCCATCCGAGAACCCTTTCGTAAAAATGGTTTTGATTCCAATGGCACTACACTGCTTTTCTTGGTTCCCTTGTTACCTAAGCTCTTCTTTGAAGGAACAGAGGTTTCTCCAGAAGCTGCCATCTCTTTTGCTTTAATTTCCTTGCTCTTGTTTGGGACAGCTGACTGCCGCTTTTCCTTCGTGCTTTTGATGCTCCTGACATTACTGGTCGGAGTTTCTTTCTCGTGTATGCTTCGCTGCTGAGATTTTTCCCTTTGGGGGCTTGGTTGGGGAACAGAAGCTGTTGACACTGGCTTCCGACGTGTTGGGGTGCTGTTGGCAGATGAAATTCCACCACGAGCTTTAGCAGGGGATGTCCCAGCAGCCCTTGGTGAAGGTGTTGCTGACCAAGACTTACGAGTAGCAGGCATCGGTGACGTTTTAGATGATGCTTTTTTCGTAACTGAAGGTTTAAAGGTTTCCTTTGGGGAATTTGTAGCTTGAATTGAATTTCTAAGAGATTTTTGGGGCAACTTTGTAGAACTTTTTTTACTTGCACTCACATTTTTGGACAACATTTCAGCCTTCCTCTTATCAAGTAGTTGTTGCATTTCTCGAAATTGTGCTTCTTTTTCTACTCGTTTTCCAGCCTTCTCTCCTCGGAGCTTTGCATCCCTTTTCTCCTTATAATTATCATAAGACCCTCCTCTTTGCTCAAATGAAATATTTTGGTTTCTGCTGGGCTGGGACTTTCCATATATGGCAGGCTTGCTTTGGACCATTTTTTTAAGAATCTGGTTGAACTCTGCTTGCTTTTGTTGATTCCATTCTGCTGAGGCTGCAAACTTTTTGACAATATCCTCTCTTACTTTTGGATCAGTTTCTTCTTGATTATCTACAGTATAAGAACCTACGTTTTCCTGTTTTTCAGGTTTCACATCGCAATCAATGATCTCAATATTATTGTGACTTTCAGAAATAAAATCAGACACCACTCCTACTTCTGAATTCTTAGGAATCTCAACATGTACCACATCATTGGAAGTCACTGGAACAGGATCTTCCTGAACAAGTTCTGGTTGGTCTTGAACAGAGGTTTGCCCCATACCAGAACTCCATCTTCTCAAGACAGATTTATTTGTACTAACAGAAACATCTGCTAATGACTTCCTCTTTTGAATATCTGCAGTTTGATCCCGCTGTTTGCTTTCAAAAAGACTGATGGCATCTTGCACAGTTATCCTCCTTACATCAATCTCAGTCTTTTTATAGGGTTGTTCAGATACTTCCCCTTCACAGTCATTTTCAGCAGTATCTCTATAAGATATTGGCCTATCTCTCCCAGGAAAAAAATTTAGACTCTTGATAGTTAATGCAGCAGCTCTGCGGGGTCCAGCTCTTCCTATTTGTATCCTTCGCATTGGGGATGCTGATCTTTTGGGAGTTGCAGATCTCACAAGAGAACGGCTTCTCTCAGCGGATGTTTGATCATCATCACTTGAATTAGAACATTCCTCGCTTTCTGTTGAACTGTGTCTCTCAACTTGAGCAACTTGAGCTGGTGAAACACCATATTTAACAGGTGAATCTGAATGTAATGGCATGGAATTCAGCAGGTTTTTGATGGCCCTCTTTGCATCATCTTCCGTCACATCACATGTGAGCAAGGTTGTTTCATTGCTCAGGAAACCAACATCCTGGCTCTTTTGGTTTAATTCTATAAACTTGCACAATGAATGCCTGAGAACATAGACACAATGAACGGAAAACGTGTTTAACAGCTTAGCAATGTTTTTATTATGAGGGAAAAGAGAAGACATACAAGTGGAATCTAGGACTTGCAATTACACTGAAGGCCAATGAACGTATAAGTCTGTCTGAAACTTACTCTATATTAGCAGCACCAAAATGTTGAGAGAATTTTGCTAAATAAGTCATGTCTTTAAGGGAGCAGGTAGCACCACTAGCCTTGTTAAAAGTTTCACCTAACTTGTTGCTTAAAGCTGTGAGTCTTAGATCCATTGCTCGTAACAATTCATTCCTGGCAGCATATTTTCAGAAAGCTTAATAGTGGCTGCAGCCATTCTATATCAGTTAAAAGTAATGCAATAGTCACAAGAACATACTTTGAAGCATCGGATGACATGATGTTATGTTGAGGCTGTTCATATGCAATAAATTGTTAGTTGAAATATAATGTACTGTAATAAAGTCAAAACCAGATAATTGAATAAGTTGATTTATTGGTAATAGTTTATAATGAATTTGCAAACTGAACCCACTCTATGACATTGGAAAAAGGGAATTACTTTGGAGGTTGGTGCTTCACCATATGAGCTGCTGTTACCATCTGTCAAAAGTGGGAAATGCTAATAAAATCAATGGAAATATGGAGAACGATGATATCTAATGTAAAAGTCAAGAAAGTTATTTATAGTAGAAAATATTCAATATCATGAATAAGATAGCAGAAACCTAACAGTCACCAACTCTTCTTTATAATCCACAATATCATATGGAGTAGGGTGTTTTGATGCATTTAGCAAAGGCTGGGTGTGACCATTTAAATTGGATAAAATATTTTTATCAACTTCAGGCATTTTGGTAGGACTGGGGAGGCAAAGTTGATATGGTAGTGAGCTATCTATGCAGTTCTTTTTTGTATTTGGCTTGAGAAAATGTTTGTACGTATAGGAATTCCTCTTATCCCTGAGCTCTTATTTGGGTGAAGATTGTCTTCTTGGTCTCTATGGTGTGATGTACATTGTTCTTTCCTAGGTTGTCAGTAGTGGTCGATAGCGCTGCTAAACCGCTATCATAGCGGGTAGTAGCGGCCGGCCGCTACAACCGCGACGCCGGCTAGTAGCGGAAGGTAGCGGCAATACCGCTATACCATTAGTTCAAGTGAAGATAAAAGTGAGGGAGAAGATTTGTTGGAATTTGATGGAGAATCTGGAGATGATGATGATTTTCTTCATTAGTTCACTTCTTGTATTTGACTATTTGACAATTTCATTGTTCATTTGCCTTCCTTTATGTTCCTTGTATTTGACATTGATTGTAGAATTATGTGTTTGATTTTGTGTGGCTTCTTATGTTTGAGCATTTATATTTGTCTAATATTAGACTGTTAGTAAAATATCTGTGGAATTAATACTTCACCGTAACGGCAATACCGCTACCCGCTACTGACAAGTATGGTTCTTTCACAGTTTCTCCCTGGCATATTTGGAAAAGGATTTGAGAGCTTTATTGTTTTAATATGTTTGTCTGTCCTTTGTTTCTACTTTGTGCCATCATCAAAAGAGGATTTCTTATCCATCTCTTATTTTTTACTCTTTTGTTCTTCCCTCTAATACTAAATACTATTTCTTCTAGAGCAAAGCCACAAGCAGTTTTTATCCTATGTGAGACATTATCAAAATTAATTTGACTATTGTTTGCTAGATCTATAGTACTAAATGATCTGCTTATCATATACTCCAGAATACTGACATTCAAGGTCAGCACAACATGAGAAATCCATGCTAACAACAAATATCAGAGACTGAAGTGACTACCACTACATCCAACTAAGAACTTGCTAGGCATGGCATCAAAACAGTCATATTGGCTAGTTCATAATCCAGTTTGTTATTGGTAAAAAAATTTAAGGATATTGATAACAGTCATCAACAACATGTACTGAGTCATTAAAAATGTATTCTCAGTTATACAACGGGGAAAAGCCATTAAAAGGAAAAGACCAAGCATTAACGGATTAGCAGCCATTAGTTCTTTTGAATTGAAAGACGGAGACAAAAGGTTATCCAAGCTCCCATGAGTTCATGACAATAAATAGCCACAATACCGCTTCAATTTTGCAGGAATATAGTAAATGCCAGTAAACTGCAGCTACAGATATTCAAATGTGGGCAGATTCAATTATAGTAAATGCCAGTAAAGGCCACTTCATTGCATTCTTGTTTTCAGCCCTCATGGATACTAGGATGGCTAATCTTCTATTTCTTCTATTGGATATCTAAAAGCTAACCCCTGTAAGACCTCTTTATTACAATAAAGAGAATATGATAAATCCTACTGGTTGGTGGTAGTGGACAAAATCAATAAAACCATGAAGTACCACTCTACTCAACCAAACCATAATTCCAACCAATAAGGCATGCTAGTAAACGAATTTAGTTAAAATTACCTCTATCGCCGCTTCCAAGATGATCGTGATGGTCCTGATTTCAGAAGACAACTATCAATCAGAAACTACACATATCCAGTACTGATTTATTGAAAGACAGAGTATCACCTTTCCATATAAAGAAACATGGAATTTCTTTGAATCCTCCAATTGAGACATCTCATCCATGATACTATTGATGACATCTATCAAATCTGGTGAACTAGCAACATGCAGGAACCTGAATAGCAAAATAATATCAGAGCTAGCAAGATTTTCCTACAAGTAAAATACAAAGGAAAAATAAAAAATAAACCACTCTTTGATAGAAACCTTTTAAGAGTAGCTTTTGAAAACCATTCAGCACCATGAAGATTTTCAGGTAATTTAAGATCAAAGTTTGCATCAAATCCCTTAGCATGCAAATCATTTATTGCAGGTACATGTGGCAACAAATGTTCCAAATGTCCAGCTTCCACTTTCTCGGATTGTTTTCCCTTACAGACAAATGCCTCATACCTATCCCACCACCACAGAGAGAAATGTGCAAATATCCATTAAAAACAAAATGTATAACATTAAATGGGGAACAGGTTCAGTACAAAGCTACTCGATGCACAATTGAATCTACTGAAGGAAGAACTAACTAGCAAAGGAAATCATAATAACTCTAATAGAGTACACAAGAAAAATGGATGAGTCTATGACATATTATAAGTACAATCCTGCTCCTAAGCCATAAGGACATGTTTTTTCAAACAACAACCTTCACAAATATTTTTAATAACCACTATAAAATCACTATATTCATTGATCAGATTTCATAACTTCTTTTAGAAAAAAGTTGTTTTAGAAATAGAAAGAGAAAACAGTATATAAATATAGAGGATATCTAATGATTTAATAACTAATGAGATCATCTATTATTAAGATTTAAAAGTGAAAGATATTGTCGTCTTTTATTTTATAGGTTTCTTTCAACCACAGAAAAACGATAAAACTCAATTGAATGACGAAGTTGGAGCAAGAGGTGGAACTGGAGTTGGGAATTTTTGTCTAGATATTTTATTTTGTTTCCCTATTAGGATTCAAATTGGAATCATGGCACAGAATAGATACAGGTTTGAAATTCTTAAAAGCAGGACATTAGAAACATCATCTTTTTGGATTTGAAGAAACTGATTCCCTTTGTTCCTTCATTTATTTTTTCTCTACATCTTATAAGTCAAATATGGAAATACACATATAGTCTAATACTATCTCATCAAAACCTATTACAAAGAAAGGAGGAAAATAACATCTAAAAGGAGGATAGGAAATAAAATAATACTAAAATGAGTTCATGTGTCAAATTCTGTTTCAAAATGGAAACCTCATATGAGGCACAATTCAACTCCACAGAGCATCAGAGCTAACCTGTTTTGCTTTGGAAAAATCCGAATTGAAGCATAATCCAAATATGCATTACCATCCATCGCATCCTCCATTTCCAAAATTTTCAATGAAAAACAAAGGAACTTGAACCTGAAAGGAGAATAGTATTTAGACAAACCATAAGCTAAAATTCATTCTGAATTTATTCAAGACTCTACCCACCAAACAAATGGCACCAAGTGAAAACTAATCAGCAGCCATCATATCCATGCAACTAAATCACATTTCATCACCAGAAAATACAAAAATTTGAATCATAAGCAATCGAAATGCAGAAAAATTATGCAACGAGTTAAATATAGCCCCGAGGTCGATGAAGAAATAAAAATGCATTTCACTTGAGCTTGCTGTAAGAGACAAAACATAATGTTAAAAAAAAAAAAATTTAAAAAAAAGACTTATGAACTGTCTTTCTTTTTAAAATATAAATTGCTGATTATTATTAGCAAGCGCTCTTCCAGGTTAATCATTGCCATCGACAAAAAATAAAATAAAAGAAAATTTAAAACCACAGAAACGCTCATTTCGGGAAAAATGAAAAAGGCGCAAAGAAACAAACAAAGGAAAACCAAAAAAGGTTCTGCAAGAAGATAAGCAAGGTGCAGTTACAGTCAGAAAGTTTATCTAGATCAACAGAGAAAAAAGAACAGCTAGAACTGCGTGCATTGAAATCAGATCTAGCAAGCCATCGAGAATCTCTATTAAAAGCAAAAACAAAGAAAGAAAAATCACCGACAGAGTAAGTTGAAGTGAAGCAGATAACGAAGAAAATCTCGGAATCTTCAAACGTGGAAAAAAAAAAAAAAAAAAAACCAATGGTAATAAAACAACAAGACAGAGAAAGTGAAATGCAAATGCATTCAAGGAAAGTGAGAGTTGGAAGACAAGACAGGCATAGACCTTGGTTGTTCTCACCTAACGTTTGAGATCTGAAAACGTGTTTTGTTGTTTATGTCAAGAAGGAAAGAGAAAGACAACTTCACAACACTGTGTTGAAACTAAGAGTGAGACTGAGAAGAAGCAGAAGCTGCCTCCGATTCCAATCTGTGAGATGAGTAATGAGTGATATGAGTGAAGAGCGTAAAAAGAAAGACAAAGTGAATTGTGTTTGATTTTGTTTGTGGTCCGCAGAGGTAACTAAACTTAATGTTACAACTTACAACTTACAACACGTTATTCCACCACCGCTGCTACCACCACCACATAACACCATCAAATATGCTTTGTCCCCCCAACGCGTGCCTTTCACGCTTTACCACTCCCCCAACACTTTTCTTCTCTCGGTTTTTTCTTTTCTCTTTTCGGACATTACAGGGAATCGAACCGCACACCTAATATACACTAAACACACCCAACACCACTAGGCTATCCCTAGTGGTGCGTTTTTTCTTTTCCCTTCTTTCTATAAAAAATAAATAAATAAAAGAACTTCACTTTATTTTATATCTTCCTTATTATATATTGTATAGAGTGCATTTGGGCTGCGTCATTTTTTGCATTGATTGATGAGATGAATGAATATTTGTATAGTAATTTAAGTTTGTATGTGCTAATACGCAAATGAAGTGTGACAAAGATTGGGTTGAGAAATGAGAATAAAACGACAATTCTCACCGCAACCAAATGCATGACACGCGTGCATTTGGTTTTGGGGTTTCTAGATCCACCACACATATACATGTTCCTCGTCAAATTTGTATCCACTCTCAGACGATTAATTGCCGTTGTCGGTAATGTACGTGTGTGCATCATGCATGCCCTTCAACCTCAATAAAATAAAGAGTTTTACTTTTATCCTTTAACATAACACAACAAATTTTCCTACTCTCACAACATTTTGTGAGGCCCACATTTTTTAAAACAAAAAAATAAATAAAAAATTAAAGCACGCAAAACGAATCTCTATAACATTACACAATCATTTTTCCTACAACATAACTCTTATAAAACCCTAAAATAAATGCCCAAGCCAAAACATAATATATACGTTTTAGTACAAATCCCTCTATATATTTTTTGTCTCTCATTACAAAATACGCGCTTTACGAACTGGACAAACAGCACAAGGTCTTCCCGTATTTATTTATACTGGATTTGGCTACTTTACTCTGCGGTATGTAATTAATATAAAAATATTGTTTTTAAAACTTTAGACTATTATTAAGTTTTTTGTATTCTATAAAATCTTATATTGACTCAGTTCATATTTTTATTCTAGTAAATGATACCCACATTTTTGTGTAGGTGAGATAAGAAGAAAGTATGAGATAAATTAAATTAAGAAATCATAACCTAATTTTCATATGCGTCCCCATTAATATAAATCTTAAATGACTGCCTGAAGCGCTGGGACCAGATCCAAGATCTGAATATCAAGTTCTATTCAGCAAGAGAGAGAAAAGTATACCGTTTGTCATATTAAAAAATAAAAAGTTTAGCAAAAGAAAAAAAACTAGATGCAGTTTTAAAAATGAGAAACTTTACGGAGATACCCTTGAGAAGAAGCTTATAACGATGACAAAACTTGGATTAACTTATTTTGAAACTCTTTTTAATAATTTACTAAGAAATCTTTAAGAAATAATTAATTTTCGAAAAAAAAAAAAAAAAACCAAACAAAAATGCACTCAATGTTACAGGTCCAATTGCATTTTTAATCCTGTACTTAATAAATAACTTGATCTAAATTTGGGTAACCCTGAATTTTCTGATATAAAATTTGAATTGTGCTACGAGTAACATTTGTACAGAACCTTACAAAAGTTGTATTAACACTTTCATATGATCCTTCCACTTTCTATTTAAATTGTGGTTCCTTCCCACGAAACCGGACCATGCGCAAGATGTACTCCCCTTCATCCCAAACCCGGAATAAATTTTTGGTACTACTGTTGTACCTAAATTCAGTGCACATCAAAGGAGAGAAAAAAAAAAATTTAACTGACATGTAATATTTTCATTGATGGGATGCACTGAATCTTTGGTACAGCTACCACAAATTTATTCCCAAACCGTATGCATAGTTAAAGTGGAAGGCACAGCTCGTATGTCAGCCTTTTGCACTGAAGACTAGATGGCAGCTGGCAGAAAAGAAGCCGTAGGAAAAGTAGGATAGAATAGAACACAAAAGTGAATTGATTGGAGTACCAGAAACTTAAGAAGGAAAGGTTGGCAAATCGTAAAGCTACCACTCTACCGATTATTGATTGCTTTTGTACCTTTACCGAGTATTTGGCTTCGCGGCCCTTACAATCCATGTGTGTGCAAACTTATTATCCACCACATGCCACAAGGCAAAAAGGAGAAAAGGAAAAAGATAGGTAGGGAAGAGGGTATAGCATTTTTCACATATTTCACTCCATCGAAAACGCTACATTAAATGTCAATATATATATAGATTACAGCAAAAGCAACATGTGGTGAGTTACCAGCATAGAATATCACTTCGTACAGATTTGTCTAACTACAGAACAAACTCGCCTAAGGCTTACATGACAAGAAAAAAAAAATGAATGATACAAGAACACTTAATGGTTACAGCTGCCGAAAGTTCTCATAGCAGATCAGGTCAATCAACGTACACAAGAACAGCCAATTAGAAAACACAGGGCAACAGTAAACTCAACAATACATCAATTAGACCACACATGAACTAGACCGTGCCTATTGCCCGTATAGATCTCATTGCGCTCTTCATCATAGAAGAGAGCAGTAATATCTTCCAAGGCTTCTGCAACTGTGCTCCTCATTTTGGATACATGCTTTCGCTTCCTTGAATTACAACTGCTCCCTGAAGTATTGTCACTGCAACAGCATTTGTCCTCCAGAAAGCTATTGCTTGCTCTTATTTTGGCAAGACACTTGCCAGTTAAAATGTTGCTGACATTAATGGAGCCTGCTGCATAAAAAAAGTAGAGCCCATCAGTAATGCACCTTTGAAAATAGGTGTTCCACATAGAAATGATATAGATTGATAAAAGACACATTGAAAACTGTTTAATTAATATGATTTGCCATCATGTTTTACGTTTTAACATATCATGTCAAAATGCAAAACATTTAGCTATACCAACTATCAGGTCTGATGATCAAGCCAAAACTTCATAAAAACATATCTCCCATTTTACCTTCAGACAAGGTGCACTACAAAGGGAAAATTTTACTAAGGGGTGGGGCAAGGAAAAAATACAAAAAGTACCATTTCCTTCAGACAATGAATCATCAGAATCAGCTTTGCAGTAGGATATGATAAGATCCTGGTCACTGGTTATATATATATTGTTTGTATTGCAGTCAGGATGCCACAAGAGGTGATCCTCAAAAGAAGTTACAAGCTCTCCACGGAAGTTCCACACAGCCACAGTCCGATTTCGAAATGTCAGGAATAATTGGTTCTCATATAGAAAGATAAATGCAGATGGTGTCATAAATTCACTTCTGCTAACTTCAGTTAGCTCAAAAGTCCGCACCTAAAATTAATTAAAAGTCAGATATCTGGATGTAAAACCATGTATACAATGCATGTAAAGGAGAAAATTACTTACGTCAAGAATTTGGAGGTTCTCATTTTCTTGCTTGACAAGTAGCTTTTCATTGAACTGTTCAATAAAATCCACCTTCTTATTCCGATAAAGGAGATGGTTGAATGATTTCAAAACAGTACCATCTTCGATTGAAAGGATTTTAAGCGGGACATGGCTACTTGCTTTAGCAAAAATCAACAACATGATCCCGGGACTAATCAAAAGAAATCATCAAAGAGCAAAGTAGTGTAAATAAAGTAAGATCACCCAAAGAAAAGAAGGGGAACTGATATTATTTAGAATAGAAAAACTGATGTTATATGATTTCAGAAATTTGTGCTCCACCATAAACCGCTTCTATGGAAGTGTTTTGTATAAACCAAAGTTAAATTCACAAACACAGAAGTTACCTGATCTTAATCTCTTGGACATTTTTATCAGAAATGGAGTACAACATCGTATAGTTTTTCAGGTCAAATACCTTGTATATGCTACAGGATTAAAAAAAAAAACAAGTATCACTATAAAAAAAGCCTTGATATATCTCAGCATAAAAGTATCAGCACAGTAAAATGTTTACCTATCCTGTGCAGAGTACGTGAGTACCTTCCCATTTACATCATCAAACTCAACGAAACCTGGCCACTTTAGAGACTCGGATTCAAAAAGAGGAAAGCCAGCATCTGGTTTACCCCTCCTTATGTATCTGAACAACATAAACATTTTAGCATAGAACACAAGTAGTCAAACCTGGACAAGCAACTATAACTATTAATTGCTTTTCTTTTAATTATTGTTTTTCTTGAGTGGTTTTGGAGTTTTGGTTTTCTCTGCCATCTTTGTTGAGTGCAAGGGGAAGGGTAGGAGTAACAAAACAACAGAGTTATACATACTCAATTCTTGTGCTTCTGCATCTCAAAGAACTGTAACTGTCTGAAGCATAGACAGAAACTGTGATAAGCGAGTCATTATTTTTGTTATAAAACAGACTTCTTATAACTTCATCAGGACTGACATTCAAAAAGCATATCCTTTCATTGGTCTCTGCATCAAACAGTTGAAACAAGTAACATATAATATATCCATTATGAGTTGCAAATAGAATTAAACAGAATATAAACACCACGTACTGATACTACCTCGGCTAAATGCTGCACAAACACCAGATTGTGCAAGAGCAAAAACAATGTCCTGTGCTGCTACAATCTCTATGATCTTCGATCTTTTTCTCAGAAACGGCAATACCATAGATGAAGGACCTTTTGGATCATGTGTATCATATTCTTCCTACAAATATATCCAACAGACATGTTACAACAAGTAGGGGAAATGGGCATACTTAGAAAAAAAAATCCAAATCTCATAGTTATCAATCTCGAATAGTATCGTTTAACGGCCAACCGCAAAACCACTACAGCAGCATAGTGGGTGGCGGTATAGGAGCTAAAGTGAAGTAGATAGGGGGTAGCGGTTTAGCTGCTAAAGTGAAGTCCACGTTGTGAATAATTATGACCATTCTTTAATTGTTGTGATGATTATATTACCCAAAACTTGAAAGAAGATAAGTAAATGGTTTAAATTTAAAAAAAAAATTACCGATTGAGGCACCAAAATTTGTCTACCACTATTCCCCGCATTAGATGCTCACATACTTACATGCCAACCTTTTCTTGAATTATCTTCCTATTCCTCCACTACACATTAATTAATACCCCTCCACGGTAAAGGAAATAATCAATCAAATTTAATCAAATTGATTTCAAAATTCAAAATCACCATAACAAAACCAAAAAACTCCATTTAATGGAAAGTAGTTAAATTTAAAACATTATTTTCAATATGTATCACTTTTGTCTTTTAATTTTACTATGATGTAACACCTATCTTTATTGGCATCTATAAATAGGGAAAAATATTTCAACTTTTGTTGCAGAAAAAAAAAATTCTGCCACACTCACATAAAAGTGAGTGGGGCCTACTAATCTTTTCTTGTTCTTCTCTTTTCTATGGGACCCACTCACTTTTATATGAATGTAGCAGGAAAAAAATTTCAGTAGCAAAAGCAGAAACAGAAACATTAAACCCATATAAATATTTCAGTCACATACATGAAGAAACAGCCCTCCCCTCTCATCTCTCTCTAAATGCTTTGCAAAACACAGCAATGGCTGTAGAGGTGAGTTATCTGATTCGGGTTCTGGGACTTACCCTTTGAAGTTTGCATACCATATGCTCCTGATCTTTGATTTCAAAGCCTTCAGGTTGTGTCATGTACACATCCTCCTTCAAGAACCCATTCAAGAAGGCGGTCTTGACATCCATTTGCCAAATTTCATAGTCGTGATATGCCGCTATTGCAAGCATGATCCTAATAGATTTGATCATGGCAACAGGTGAGAAAGTCTCATCATAGTCAACTCCTTGTCTTTGACGATACCCTTTCGCAACCAACCTAGCTTTGTAGGTCTGAACGTTGCCATCTGCATCAGTCTTTCTTTTAAAGACCCATTTGTTACCAATAGGAACTATTCCTTGCGGTTTAGGAACCAAGGTCCATACCTTGTTTTGATACATCGAATCCATTTCAGATTACATGGCTTCAAGCCATCTAGAAGAGTCAACATCCTTGACTGCCTCTTCGTAGTTACTTGGTTCATCATCCTCGACGGTTTGCTGATTCTCAATCACAAACCCATACCTCTCAGGTGGATGGATGCCCCTCGTTGACCTATGGAGTTGTGTGTTTACTTCTCCATTGGAGAACGTCGCCTGCGGAGTAGACGTGGGTTCCTCAATCTGTTAATGTGGTTCTTGAACTTCTTCAAGATCAATCTTACTCCCACTGGCTCCTTGAGAGATCAAATCCTTCTCAAGGAACTCAGCATTTTTTGACACAAACACTTTGTGTTCATCCATGGAGTAAAAGTAGTATCCCTTAGTACCTTTGGGATACCCCACAAATAGACATTTAGTTCTCTTAGCACTAAGCTTGTCTGATGCCAACGTTTTGACATAAGCTGGCGATCCCCATACCCTGAGGTAACTCAGGTTGGGTCTCTTACCATTCCATATCTCATATGGTGTGGTCTGAACAGATTTAGACGGTACCCTATTTAGAAGGTATGCCGCTGTGTCTAGGGCATATCCCCAAAACGATTTTGGAAGTTGAGTCTCACTCATCATAGACCTAACCATGTCTAACAAGGTCCTGTTTCTCCACTAACCTTCTTGTAAACACAAGGTTCATCCTCGTTCTTGATAAAACCGTTACTCTTAACGACTTCATCAAAACGAATATTCCAACTCCTTGATGCTTGCTTTAGCCCATATATCGAGTATCAGGTGATTCCTTTTGGGCTTACAAATGGTTTCAAATGTTGTACTGCACACAAGTGTCACGAATAGCTACGAACAAAAAGCAATACAAGAAATCACAATTTCCTAATCCATGTCCCTCTCGATCCCTCTGCAATGGCCACATCATAACCTCAAACAAGTTCACACCTATGAAACCACAGCTCCGCGCTACATTACTTTTCTATATCTAATATCCCATACATGGAGAAACCACAGCTTCACGCCCATCACTCACGTGGCAGCCTTAGACTGACTAGTCATCCAATCCCTACAATCTATTAAACCATCAAATAGAATTAGAGGTACAAGCCAAAACAGAAATTGACATAGGACAACACAATCATAATGGAGAAACCTTTATTAATAATCTCTGTTAGGCAAACCCAGCACACCTTTATGATAAGTACAGACTCCAAGAAAGGAAAAATGCTTCACTCCATCAATAATTGGCAGGCCCTTCGCTCAATGATGAGATAACAACAAAGAAAAACTAGATTCTGCTGATTTAATTGAGTTCTATAACTTCAAAGTTACGAAGCAATAACATAAATTTCAAGTTCGATCTACCCAGAATAATTTTAAAATTTTAATGTAGTAGCCCTAACCAAATCTTCTAATTCACATCTGGAGGATTCATACATAAGCATTTTATGCTATTTTTTTTAATAAGAAGAAAAGGGGAAAAAAAGTGAAAGTGGGCAAGTTAGGGAAATGGGACCTGTAAACGAATATTCCGGAATCTCTCCTGAGCATCTGTCATGCTGAAAGCGCGATCACGCTTGGAGCTGATTTCACGCCTCTGAAGCTTCTTGACGCTGTTCACGAACCCATCAACTGCCCCAAGTCGACGCGGCCTCCTCCTCGCAAGCACTCTCCGCCAGCAGCGAGGGCGAGGGCTCACCGTAATCCTCCTTCCACTTTCCATATCCTCAAAATAAGAGCATCAGCCCACGACTCAAGAGTAGGAACCCTAAAATCTTCTGTCCCCAAAAGGAAGAGGAGGAAGATTAGGGTTTTATCAGTTAGAAGCAAGAATTGAAAGGTGTGTATGTGAGAGTGAAGGGGGAAAAAAGAAAAAGAGGAATAAGAAGAAGAAGAAGAAGAATGAAGTCCACCAAGAATTCAATGGGGCGTCGATCGCAGTCTCAAAACTCTGAATTTGGAATCTGACTCGGACACTGCTTAAAATAAAAAGTAAAAAAGATAACACGAAAGAACAAGCAGTGTCCGAATCCGAATGAATGAATGAATGTCTTCTCTTATAAATTACCCACGCAGGCCCAAAATCTCGGCCCATTTTCTTATATTCAAACGCCTATTTTCTGGTTTTGGACATTTTTTTATTTTTATTTTTATTTTAAAACTACTGTCCTTTTCAGTTACTAGAGAGTTATTATATTACAGTAATTTTTTTCTAAGTAAAACTTTATTTTTTTTCCTTAAGAAGTATATTGATTAATTTATTCACTTAAATATAAGTTTTAACAATTTATTTCCTAATTTTTATTTTATTTTTAAACCTCCATATACTGAAGTTTAATGTTATTAATTTTTAAAAACTGATATAACATATGCAACTCCGTCAATTTATCCTTATATAATAAAATTAAGTCCTCTCTCCTAAAAGCAAGATAATCTTCTATTGTACTCTTTTTCTCTTTAAAGAAAAATAATCTCTTTTTTCTTTTCTTTTTTTAACTTTAGAAGTATTTAATTATTTTCATTTTTCCTTTTTTACATTGAAATTTTTTGTTTGTTCAAAATCTTAATTACTTATATTATCAAAAAAATAACTTCATAATTTTTTAACGTTAGAATATTTTTTTTTTCAAAAATAACAATTAGTCATACTTTCCAATTAATTATGTTCAAACTTTTCTTTTCCAATTAGAATTTGTTCTTTCTTCTCAAATTGCCGTTATATATTAAATTATATTACATTATATCTTGAGAATGATTTAAATTTTTTTGCATACTGTTCTTTAAATAATACTACATATTATTCTTAACTTTTCTTTTTCTAAATTTTGAATTCAAATTATTTTGAATCAATTATGCATTTTACCTGAAATAATTACGTTTATTCTGTTATAATTTTAAATATTTTTTCTCTTAAATACTTTTTCTATTAATTAACACTTTCTAACTTTTACCTGAATTTAAAATACTCGTGCAATGCGTGATACTTTGCTAATTGGAGCAACATGATCCGTCTTTATACATCATTAAATGGCTTGCATGTGCATAGAACATTTCATTTTGGAATATCTGTATAACTTTTTTGGACAACTTTTGGCCAAATCATATCATTTTAACATAATTGACGATATATCATCTAATCAACTTTCTAAGTTAACATTGTTAAACTTTAATAAATAAAAGAATTACAATTTTAAAGGTTTAGATTTTAGGAAAATTAAAAAAAAAATCTCTAAATATCTAAATTGATAAAAAGTTTATCTCTAAAATTATTTATTAATTATTCATTGTATGTGAGAGATTATTAAAGATTTATGTAATCGATAATAAATTTTGAAAATATATTTTAGATATTGATGTTCACTTTTATGTCAAATGATATAAAGTTTCTTTTTGAACAAATTTAGATTGAGTTTTTTTGTTTTTGTGTTAGTGGAAAGTAGGTTAACGTCTTATTACCAGTAATGAAAAAATATCTAATACTTTATATATAATAAGGTAGTGTCTACCTTTTCTCAACGTAAATTAAACTTTGATAATGAATCAAATAACATATTTTTAAATGCCAATTTATATTTAGGGAAGTATATTTTTCATGTTATATGAAATAAAATTGTTTAATGCGCACACAAAAAATTGAGTGGGATCCACCTTTTTCTTTCTTTCTATTTCTTTAGTGAATTCAACTCACTTTTTTGTGTGAAACATGAGATCTCCAATTTTGTCTCATGCAATACGAAAAACATATTCCCTTTATATTTAATAAGCTCTTATTCCCGATGAATTTATTTTCATTGTCGAGAGGGGGGAAAAAAGTTAATGTCGATGTTGCTCTATAATATAACAATGGGTTTTATAAGAGTTATGTTGTGGGAAAAGTGATTGTGTAATGTTATAGAGATTCGTTTTGTGTGCCTTAATTTTTTATTTATTTTTTTGTTTTAAAAAGTGTGGGCCCCACAAAATATTGTGAGAGTAGGAAAGTTTGTTGTGTTATGTTAAAGGATAAAACAAAAACCCTATAACAATATATTCAATTTTCCTTTTAATATAATATAGATAGAAAAGATTTAGGAAATATCATGTGAGTTGAAATCAGCAAAGTGGGTTTAATTCGTTAGGTCAACCTGCTTAATCTCTTTTATTTTATGAATTAGGTTATCGATTCCAATTCATCGTCCCACCACAGTCCACATGTTGAGGCGAGTTTATAGATAGAAGATATGTTTTGATGATAACAATGAGAAAACAACAAAAAGAGAATAGTCTTGATTAAGAGGAAAAACATCAAATATACCAAAGATTAAATATGCATATTGGAGCTACACAAGAAAAACGATGAGATAACAAATTGCCTAGAACATTGGTGAGTTTGGAAAAAAGCAATCAATGAGTCAAAAGCATTGCATGATGAGTCAACGATTAAATATGTATGTTGCATGTTGACTTCGCAAAGGCCAAGGCTGCAATGCTTACCACCAGTTTTGCTGCATAGATACCAGTTTCAAGTGATATTGTGGTGAGCTCTGTTTATGAGTTTCTTGTTGGTGAATCAAAGGATAAGAATGTCTTGATATTAATTGAACCTATGGATCTAGAAAATCAAGCTATAGATCAACCTGATGAGATTGACGAGGTTTCCCTGGACCTAACACGATTCAGAATGGTGACTATCCTAATCTCAATCTCGTGCACCCACCTCCAATAAATCCACCATGGGAGCTTTCAAATTCTAGCCTCTGTCATATAATTCACAACTTACATTTAGAGGATAACTTCACTATTTGTCAAGGTCTCATTGTTGGTAATGTTTTGAGCAAGTTGAGTTGCATAACGCGTGAAGCAATATCGTCTAGAGCACCTGAGCACATATTATCTTGTGTGATGTATCAAAAAAAAAGATCATCTTGTGATGCAAACCAAGTGTTTACTGAAAGGGCTGACCATGATGATACCTCTAACCTTAAGGTCATATTTCTTGTCTCGCATAAATGCATGAAAAATAATGCATGCTCTTTATTTTTGGATCATGGGGGGATGGTCTTCTTTTTTATCTATTCTTCTAGTTGCTAAACTCCAATTGGAAAAATACAGAGAGCTATAGAAGAAAATTAGCTTATAGTACTAGAGCCCTCTAAACATTAATTAGCCAACACATGCTTACGGAAGAAGAACAAATCATCTTTTTAGTATTTGAGAAATTTTCATATACTGAGCAGGTGTGATTGGTATGATAACTTCTTTGTAGCACACCAGTTAAAATGATGGCAAAATTTATTCCCTGGCATGCTTTGCATATATCATTTGATGAGTATCAAAACCTGTTAGGGTGCCAATGCACAATAATTATCAAAGAGAAGCCTCTACCTCAGGTGATAACAGCTAGAAAGATACAACTATCTGAATAGTTTTCTTATTTGTCTTCATTTAACAGGAAGTTATAATTTATAACTAAAATATGCATCTTTAATAGCATTGTTTTGGACAAAGTTATATTCCCCCATATAAATAATAAATGGGGTTAACTTTGCAGCCACGGGCAACCCGTATCATACGCGCAACATTTCATGCTTAACTTTGCAGGCGTGCTCTCAATTACAATTGCAACTTGATGCTCCCTCATGAGGTTGAGCTTCAATACCATTTGAACCTCATTTTTCGTTGCAAATTCCTGGTTCACAAATAACTTGTCACCCAGTTGCCACGGACCTTGTATTGATCCCGATCCCGAAATTGAACCATCAGTGCATGATTCTTGTTCGCTCCGATAACTCCAATCAATATGTGTGTCATGTGGAATTCCTTCCCAAAAAGGAATAACAACATTGTCACCTGCATATAGGAATTAACACTTGTTAATACATTATTTGAACACCCTAAATCACATACGAGTTATTCTGTAAAATACCTTGATTATTGTATGCGGCGCCCATCACATACGGTTCATGGTATATTGGGATTTGAGATGCGCTCATGTCACCACCGTCATCTCCTTCAGAAGCACTAGCATCCTCGGCCAGAAGATGTTCTTCCCTTGCAATATTTTCATCATCATCGTCATCGCCGTCGTCATGCATAACCCAGGTAGGATCATTTTCATCTCCCTAAAAAATGTTAGCAACTAGAGAAGCATGAGCAGCGGACGTTGATGCATGACATGGAGAATTTAATGCAACTGACCTCACTGGTAAGACTACATCCTCTACTCCGGCAATGTCCATATACAACTCCAAAAAATATTTCCTTGACTGGTTGAAAAATTCTTCCATTATCATCTCGACGTCTTCATCATCAACCACTTGTAAACTAATGTATTGATTAAATTGTCATAACCTTGTGGTGATCTAAGTGATACATTGGTTACCTTAGAGAGTTAACTTTTGACGAATTCTCTAATGCAGTTTGTCAATGGTTGCGTTGCGTTAGATACATGTCGGCCTTTTTTCACCTTCAAACATGACACATCGTCGGCTTTCCACCTTCCTACTATTGTAATATAACACAACACGAACAGAATCAGAATGTGAACTCATTTTAAAATGGAATAAGAAATAAAATAAAAGACTAAATATAAGATAATAATTATGTATGTAAATGCAAAAATTGATGGTAGAGAAAAGTTGTGAAGAGTGTATAGAGTGATAAAGGTTTATATAGACTTTTTTGCATCATCCACGCCCTGGGGGATAGAGTCGGCAAAACGGGCTCTGCTCAGCGGGCCGACCTGCCCCATAAGCTAAATGGGGCGGAGCGGGCTGGGTTTTTCAACCCATGTCAAAAGCGGTGTGAACTCATTTTTTGGTGGATTGACGACGGGCATAGGCGGGCCGAGACAGGTCAATGTAAAATAGGCTCTGGTTGGCGGGCCAACTCGCCAAACGAGGCTGGGTGAGCTGAGTTTTTCAGCAAGTTTCAAAAGCGGGGCGGGGCGGGCTGACTCATTTTTTGGCGGGTTGATGGCGGCCCCACTTTCCCACCTCTACTTGGGGGGCATCATGTCTGCATGTGTCACGCCCA